ATAATATTTTATTGTTTATTGATAGATGCACATTTATTAATGGTATAGAAAGTTATGTGGTCATGATCAACATGAAATTCAGAAGAGCAATTACCTGCAAGAGGCAAAAAGGAAGGAAAATAAGATCACAATGGGTTTCTCCTGTATTCCTACTATGTTTCCTAAAAATATCTTAAACAAAAATGACCAAAGGTTTATATTTGATAAAGCTGGATTGTAGTTGTACCAATGGTGATTTTATTATTTGTTATTCTTTCCATTGGTGTTTAATTTTATTTTAAAAAATTACAGTTGACATTCAATATTATGTTAGTTTCAGGTATACATAATAGAGGTTAAACCTTTATATAACTCATGAGGTGATTCCCCCTGGTAAGTCTACTACCCATCTGGACTATATTCCCTATACTGTGGTTTACATCCCCATGACTATTGTATAACTTCCAACTTATATTTAGTAATCCCTTTACCTTTTCCTCCAAGCCTCTCCCATCTGGCAACCATCGGTTTGTTTGTTCTCTGTACCTATGAGTTTGTTTCTGTTTTGTTGGTTTTTTTATCTTTTAGATTCCACATGTAATAAAATCATATGGTATTTGTCTTTCTCTGTCTGACTTACCTATTTGGCATAATATCCTCTAGGTCCACTCATGTTATTGCACAACTTCATTTTTTTTCTTTATGGCTGAGGATTATTTCATTGTATATATTTATCACATCTTCTTTACCCATTTGTATAATGATGGACACTTAGATTGCGTCCTTATTTTGGCTGTTGTAAATAATACTGCAATGAACATAGGGATGCATGTGTCTTTTTGATTAGTGTTTTGGATTTCTTTGGACAAAAACCCAGAAGTGGAATTGCTGGGTTATATGGTTAAGAGGGAAACTTTGATTTTTAAATATATATATTTTAATTTATTTATTTCCATCACCATTTATCCCTCCTATACCCTTATGCACCTCCCACAGAGAGAGAGAGAGAGAGAGAGAGATACTGATCAGTTACTCCCTGTACACACCTAACTGGGGATCAAACCCACAACCTTCTGGTGTACGGACAATGCTCCAACCCACTAAGCCACGTGGCCAGGGATAAGAGGGAAACTTTTAATGAAAATATGTTGGGCCCAGGTACATGGTAAACTTATCTTCGTTATCTGCAGATCTGTACCAGACTGCTTAATTCTAAGACATCTGGAAAAATATATATGGCATAATGTGAACAAATTTGAATATATAATTATATTGTGATTTTTGTAAATGTAAAAACCTGATTCCTGCTTTTTAGGGTCCATCCACCTTTTGTTCAGTAAGAAACACCTTTTTGATACCTTTTGCTATCAAAGTGAGAGAGATTAAATCCTACCCAGATTCTAGGGAATGGGTGTGTCCTGGCCAAACTCAGGTGACTTTTTGTTTCCAGAGCATACTCTCAGTTTTAGAGTGACTGTGGTTTAAACTGTAAATATTAGCATGGATTTCAAAAAACATCTATGGGTGATGACGTGGAGTAAATCAGTGGTGGAGTAATAACCCAATGATAGGTTGTGACAGTTCTCTGATGAGTGAGATTTTCTAGCAGTTTGTTCCAAGGCGGGTGTCAGCAGATGTGACCGATTCGTTCCCTGTGAAGCAGGCTCTGAGATGGAGATCATAGGACATTTCTTAAAGAGTGTTTTTTGTATTCACACCCATGAAAAGGAAGGAACAGAAGCAGGATTGGGCGGAGGAAGAAGTCAGGCTGTGAGACAGTTTTAAT